ATAAGACAAGCACCCCCCCGACCCCACAGCGCCCGACTGCCTGTTCTGCCTCCGCCCCCCTATTTACGCGCACCGAACGCGCAGCCTGACGCGACCTGACACCCCAAGTGCAATGAAGGACAGATCACTCCTGTCCCCGTAGCCCCGCGAAGGACAGACCATTCCTACCCTCCCTCGCGACTCTCCTTCCCACTCTTGTTGGCCAAATCGGAGTAGACGGAGACCTCCGACGACTAGATCTTTTCGAGTCTCGGGGCCCCCGATCTCTGGAGTCCTTCCCTGGGACTAGCTGTTCATTCATCCCGAGCAGATTTGAAGCGCTCCGCGGCCCAGAAACAGGCTTCGCAAGCCGAGAACAAGTACTAAAAACCCTGGAGATCCTGATTCTCTAAAACCTACTAAAATCTGCTAAAACTGGATCCCCGCCCCATCCAAGGTCCATCCTGGCCAGTTTCTCGCGCTGCGACCAGTCGTGGCGACGAGAACCTCCCATCAAACCCGCGACTTTCGGGTCACTGGACCCTCTCCCCCGACGTCGCAGCTTCTTCGTGACACGGACCCTGGAGGATCTCGACCCCTTCCACTTGGCCAGCTTTCCACCCTGAGTAATTTTGTTGACGGCCCTGGGGCCGGGAAGCCGCCACCAGAAGCGAAAAACGTCCAAAAAGCTGGTCACCTGATCTGCGTCAGAGGACCAAACACTTCAAGATGGAGATCCAACCTCTGTTCTGAAGGCGTCATTCTTCCATCGTGGCATCTCTATTTACTCCAGAGCGGAAATTGAGGAGGGGAGATCTGGGCAGCCTTGAGGGGCAACGATAAGGGCGGACTGGCTCAGCGGGGGGAGCATCGACCTGGAATCGGCGATGCATATGCATCCGCAAGGTCCTGGGCGTGGTGGGGCTATCGGGGCCCGATAGGCGATCAACAGGCGATCGGAGTCGATGCATTCCCCCCTCCTGAGCCTTTCCTCCCCCCGAATGTTGCCGCTGACCTTCCGCTCCCTGGTTTCCGGGCCACAACTCAGGCCTCAGGCGGCTGTTTGGGGCGATCCGGGCACCCCCCGAACGGCCTCGGCGACGAACAGCCGCTGGAGAGCACCCTGAGGCAAGAAAACCACCGAGGGCCCACGCAAACTCCACTCCGAGAAAGTCGTCCCCCACTGAGCCGATCCCTCCGTAACAACATTGCCCCTGAAGTCAGATGCGGCATTTGTTCTGTCATGGCAAACTGCACCAAATCAAATATTGTTTACTTTCTCTCGACGCGATAAATGCCCGCCCCTGTCCAGAATAACGACCTATCATCTCGCCGTGGGATCGGCCACTCTGATCTGGGGCACAGGCAGAAGCCGAGGAGCCCATGAGAGAAGAACGAGGATGGCGAAGCGAAGAACCAGACAAAAAGATCCCGATACCGCTACTCCGCGGACTACTCCTGGGGTGCGGTCTGGCCAGGATTTCGAGGCAAATCCAGCAGTGGCGACGAGGGGCGTTGCCTCTGAAGTCAGGAGCCCATCTTTGTCAGCTGCTCGCGATAAAGCCCGTTACTGGCCCCGCCGGTCCCCCCCCCTCCCCCCCTCCTCATGGTCACGTCACGATCCGCGTCAGCGCCGCCTGGGAATTGACCATTCCGAAGTATTACTAGACGGCGCTGGAGCGAATCGTGACGGTAACTGCCCCCGCCCCCGCTGCGCCCCAGCCCCCGGTCAAGCCCGTCATGAGGGCAACGATGTGGGTAGGGAACTGGCCCGGGCGTGGGAGCATCGACCTGGAATCGGCGGTGCATCGCCGATAGGCCCCCGATGGCGAATCCGCACGGCCCTGGGCGAGGTGGAATTATCGGGCCCCATCAGTGGTGAATGGGCAATCGGGGGTCGATGCATTCCCCCCTGAGCCTTCCCCCCCCCCACGAATGTTGCCGCTGACCTTCCGCTCCCTGGTTTCCGGGCCACAACTCAGGCCTCAGGCGGCTGTTTGGGGCGATCCGGGCACCCCCCGAACGGCCTCGGCGACGCGCAGCCGCTGGAGAGCACCCCGAGGCAAGAAAACCACCGAGGGCTCACGAAGACGCCCAAAACCCTCGGACCTCGACTCCGAGACCCACCAGTCACTCCCGCTATCGCCAGGAGATTGCCCTAAAAAATGCCTCCAGACGGAGCACGGCTCCCGGCGGCGGCCGCCCCTCCTGCCTGCGACAGCGCGGCGACGAGGGACCACAGCGAGGGCGCGCGGCAGGCCTCGCACCCAGGCGCGCGGCCGGAGATCGCCGCGCGCGGCAGGGCGGGACGGCACGAGCCCAGACATTCGGCGTCTCGGTTTTTGCGACGCACGGGCCCCCGACCTCTCGACCGCTTCCCCGGGACCCGTTTTGCATCCCGAGCCGCTCTTTGACGGCCCTGAGCTCCGGTAAAGGGCCCCGAGAGGCCGAAAACAATGAAAGACTCCCGTCTCGATTTTTTCCAGACGCCGAGACGCCGGATGTAGGAGCACGCGCCAGGGATCGCCGCACTCGGCAGGGCGGCTCGGCTGAGCATCGTTTAACCGATCCCTACCCCCACTGGCCTGGCCTGAGCCCCGCTGACCGATGTACCCCCCCTGGACGGGGATACTGCTCCCTTCGGGTTTCGAAGGCCCTATCCCTAACTGCTGATGTGGCGGGGTGGTGAGGCCGAAATGCCATGGCACGGTGGAGCTGGGGATGGGCTGAACCAGACTGAACGGCACGAGCACGAGAGGACCCGGCAGTGCAAGACGGCCTCCGCAGCCACAGCAGCGGAGGGCCAGGGCCCAGCCGCCGCAGGCGCATGGGGCGGGCGCCCCGACGGCGGAACTCCGCTGGAGGACGCCCGCCGCCCCTCGCGGCCCTCGCGGCGGTCAGTCTCAGCGCCGGCCGCGGGCTCTCCGGCCCCGAACAAGGCGAAGCCAGGATGAGCACAGATTCGGCTGGGGACAGATCCGGAATCTCCGAGATCCAGCGGCTGCCAGAGCGCGACCGACGGCTCTGAGAGCGTTCTGGGAAGCTCTGGATCGACTTAATCCTGCCCTGGGCCCGCCCAACGGTGCGACGGCCTCGGCAGCGGGGTCACCCGGCGATCTGGTTTTTCAATCTTGGCGACTTCTCTCGATTTCGGTGCCCGGTGCCCGCTGCCCGGGCCTCAGGACCATCAAAAAAGCGCCCTGGACGAAGAAGCACCCCTGGGAAAGGGGGAAGGGGTCGGGAGCTCTGGGGCCGCAGATTAAAGAAGAAAACAAAACATAACAAAACATAACAAAACAAAACAAAACAAAACAAAAAATCGGCCGATGCGATGTCAGGGGATCCAGCAGTGCGACGGCCTCGACCATCAGGCCACCCGACTTCTGGGCTGCCTGACTGACTGAACCCCTGCGTCGAACCTGGCGACGTCTGGGAGGGGCTCGAAATATTAAGTCGTCTGGACGGCCAACCCAGAGATGCGGGCGCTGCAATTTTTCCCCACTGGGCGTGTTCGCCAGGTCGTGGGCCCCAGGGCCCTCACAAATCAACCCGGCTTGAGAACTGGCGCAGGAAGATAAGCATTTTCCGCGATCTTGCAATTTTTGTCGCGACGTCGAATCTCAAGATCACCCGACTTCTGGGAGGTGCTCAAGGTATACACCACATCGTCTGGTCGTCCAAGGAGCTCGGCGCATGGACGGCGGCAGGGGGGTCTGAACTCGTTGGGCCCTTAGAAAATCGGTCAGGAGCAGGGATGAAGCCAAATCCGCTCAAAATCAATCCCCGGACCCATCCCAGGGTTCATCTGGTGCTGTTCCTCTCCCTAGATCCAAAGGGGCCAGGGAAGCCGAAAAAGAGCAAAAAAGCCATCTCGAACCCAGAACCTCGAACCTGCCCGCCCTCCCTGCTGGCCAGAACCAATGCCACCTCGGACCCCCAGACGGCTCCAAGCAGTATTCCTTCGCCGCAGTCGCTGGCCCATTCTTGGCCGACCAAACGACGTGGTGTATACCTCGAGCCCATGCGAGCTCAGCGCCCTGCGCCCCGTAACCCCGCGGCGCGAGACGGCGGCCCTCTTCCCGCCCTCGCGCCGCTCGGCCCGGAGAAGCCCAGAGGACGGAACACCTCTGCTTCGATGGTCGGACCTCCGGGCGTGGAGGACAAAACTCCAGTATGGAATGTGCTGCCGCCTCCGGCACGGAGGTCGGATCTCAATGTTGGAGGAATATGCCCCTCCGGGTGGGTCGCCCGGCTTCTTTGCTTTGGCGCCCCGCGGCGCGCACCACGCGCTCTGCCGTCTTCGCGACCTCGCGCCGCCGGCCCAGAGGGAGGGGCAGTGTGAGCGGGCATCTCCGCGAAGCGGGCCGGGGGAGCGCAAGGCGCGGCTGTCTTCGCTCCCCCTGGGGAGTGGCTCGGGGGCAAGGGCAAGAGTCGACGAACCTCAGAACGTGTCAGCGCCAGCGTGTGCGTGTCCACCGAAGCCCTTCAATGCGACTCAGGCAGCGCCTTGAGGACCGACACAGGCTGAGTGCTATCGGCAGAGCAGAACGCGGGGTAAACACACATGGGGCCGACACACGTGCTGCGGATCACCGAAGGGGGGACGTTAAGAGGCAACGTCTGGGAGGCCTGCGCAAGAACGATTGAAGAACTTCGAGCCTGATTAAGGGGCCATGAGGCGGATCAGCCGAGCCAAGCTTAAGCGAAATTGAATCAGATGGAGCCAGATTACGCGGGATTCAAAATGAATTAGGCGGGGACTATGCCGGATTCGACTGGCTTTCGACCACGGATAGACCAGCGCCGATGCTGAATTTAACGTCCCAGGAGTTGCATCGCAAGGGTCGGTTCCTCGACGGCTCCTGAATGACTCGAGGGCGGAGGCGAGGAGGACGAGGGAGGGAGGGTGCAGCCCCCAGACGCGCTCGGTGGTTACTTACGTCGCAACGATGGTTCGCCAAGCGCAAGCCTGACATACGTGGGGGCTGCTGCCATTCCAAACCGATCGTAGTTCGACACGTTTCTGGCGGCCGACACTCCAAACGCATCATTATGTTTTCGCGCCGACGGACTCCACGACGCCTCCCGCGGATCCTCCTCCTGGTCCAGGGAGGCCGCGAGATCGAGAGCAGGAAAGGGGAGGGCGGCGGCGCTCTGCGAGCGAAAGCGTCGTGTCCCCAGAGATCGCCACGAAAAAAAGATCCTACACGCGATGGAGCGCTCCACTGCTAGACAGAGGGTGCGACGTGAGAAATGATTAAACGATTGCGCCTCGCACTAAAGCTCTGCGTGCGACATTTGCGCGCCGCACGAAACCTCTGCGTGCAAGAGGGCGGGCAACAAGAAGCTCGCCAGAATGCCATCGCAGACCGACGCGCACTGCTTATGGCGTTTTTTCTCAGTCGAGGCTTGGACATCAGCTCCACAGGGCGGAGAGCTCAGACCAGAAGCCAGAGCTCGGCGGGCGCTTGCCCCATGGAGGTAGACCCTCTTCATCCACGTCGTCGCTCTCGTCGGCATCCTTCCGCAACTTTCTTCTCCGAGAGGCGCGCTTGGCCACCTTCTTGCGAGCTTCATCAGGGACGATGTGGAAAGCCTCCTCGGGCGCCCGCGGCCTCGGCGGCAGCGGCGCAGCCCTCGCGGGCAGCGCGGAGCTCCAGGGCGCCTGGGCCAGGGCGTTGTACAGGGCCAGGTCCACGGTGTGCGCGCTGGCCTCGCTGGTGCTGCGCGGCAGCTGCGGGGCAAACGCTGGCGGCGGGTGCTGCAGCGGCGCGAAATGGCTATGCGCCGAGGGCTGCTCCAGAGGGCCAGGCTCGCTCGGCGGTGTCACCGCGGGCGCCGTGGCCGCCGCGACCGCCGCCAGCGACAGCGCCGAGGCCACGGGGGTCAGCGCCGGCGCGGGGGGCCGCTCTGGGCGAACCGGGCTGGGAAGGCCGGTGCTCGGGGTGCTGGCCTTGAGGCCCACCTGCGAGTCGGTCAAGTCGCGCGGCGACGGCCGCTCTGGCGAGCCCGGGGCCGCGTGCGGGGACTCCTGGCATGTCGGCAGGCGAGGGGCGGCGTCCCTCAGGGAGCTGAGCTGGCACGGCAAGCTGCCTCCATGCGGCCACGGCGGAGCGCCTGGCCGTGCACGCAGGTAGGCCACCTGCACCGGCGTGGACGCCCCAGACGAGAGGCGGGACGTGCCCACAGGGTAGCCCAACGTAGGCCCCGCGGGCGCAAAGAACACCCGCAAAGGCTGCGGCGGCGTGGCCGGCGGCGCCGCGCTCTGGAGGCGACTGTGGCCTGCCAGCGACAGCTGCCTGCGCACCAGCTCGCCAGCCCCCGCGTCGCTGGGCACCGGCACCTGCTTTAGACGCCCGAAATGGGTACGGAAAGAATGGGTCCAATGCTCCCAACAACAAATGTTGTCCCAAACCAGCAGCGGCCGCTGTTGAGCAGGCAGCCTTCTGTCTCAAACGGACACAGGCCGCGGCGACACCGACAGCGAGTCCTGTTCAAAATGAACAGGAACTGCTGTTGGGCATTGTAACCATTCTTTCCGTACCCATTTCGTTCGTGCCGACCTGCGGCGACACGAGCGGGCCTTCTGGCAGCCTGGCGTGGCTGCGGCAGCCGCCGCTGCTAAAGGGCACGCTGCTCGCGCCGCCGACGCTCCTGACGCTCGCGGCGGCCGACTGGGAGCCCTCCGAGGGGTATGGCAGAAACTGCTGTGCGCGCGCTGAACTCCGCCTGTACGCTGGCGACACCTCCTCCCTCGACCCGGCACGCTCCACCGCGGAGGCCTCCCCGAGAGCAGCCGCGAGGGCGTCCGCGGCGCGGTCGCAGTCGCCGCGCGAAAGCCGGGGCGGGATGCCGAGCAGGTAGGTCTTGCGCAGCAGCGCCGCAGTCCTGGGGCAGAGGTAGCCGCTGCGCGGCGCGAGCAGGCTGCCGGCCGCGGACGAGGCGCTCTGGCCCGCCAGCGAGGCCACCTCACTCTTGACGTCGTCGAGTGCTCCTCGGTCCGTCCCGCCCGCCGCACTGCCGAGCGCCTGCAGCGGCACGCCGCGCGCCTGAGCCGCCGCCACCAGCCTCGCCGACGCCTCCACGCCGAGGCTGTCCACCCACAGCAGCAGGCTGGTGCAGCAAGGCCGCGCCTGCGGCGACGGCTGCGCCACCCTGAGACCCGTCTCCGCCGCGAGGCCGTCGCGGGACGCGCGGTCCAGCAGGCGGGACGCGAGGCGCGCGTGGCGGCGGTTGGCCTCGAGCACCCGGTGCTCGAGCGAGGACAGCTGCGGTCTGAGCACCGCGGCCGCTACGTTCGACATCTGGAGGCCGAAATCTGGGCAAAGGCCGCGTTCGATTTCCTCCAGCGCCGGGCACTCCGTCGCGGCGAAGTGCCTCCTGAAGCCCGGGCCGTAGCAGCCGGCCATCGCTGCCGTCCTGGCGGCCACGGCGGGGTCGTCGGTCAGCACGAAGCCGCCCTTGCCTTGCCCAGCGTTCAGGACCGTCCCTGGCTGCGCCGAGATGCAGCAGACTCCACCGTGGTGCCCAACGTGGCGGCCGTCGACCCACACGCCGAGCGAGTCCGCGCAGTCCTCCAGGAGCCTGACGCCTCGATCCCTGCAGATCTGAGTCACCGTGTCCAGCTCGGGGAGGACGCCGCAGACGTGGGACAGGAGCAGGTACTGCGCGCCACTCTGGTCCGCCTTCCACGCGAGGTCGGCGGCGTCTACCCTGAGGTCGCCCATGCTCTCCACTGGCACGGGCGCGGCGCCGGCGTGCTGCACTGCCGAGGCCACTGCCCTGCCGGCCACGCCGTTGCAGAGCACCTTGGCCCCGTTCTCCACACCAACAGCTCGGAGAGCAAGAAACAGTGCGGAGCTGTACGAGTTGACTGCTACGCAGAACTTGAAGCCCATATACGCTGCAAGCTCCTTCTCGAAAGTAGACACTGGGAGACTGGCATTGTCATAACCCTGCCGGAACAGGCTGCCCTTGCCCAGTAGGGCAGCCACCTCCTTGGCCGCCCTGGGCTGCACGGGCTCCACCGCCTGGGACCAAGCCTGGGACGGCAATCGGGGATCGCTCGATGCCGGCCACCACGGCAGGCAGCCGTGCAGTCCCTGGCAGCACCCTGACGGCTCCGCGCCTCTGGCGCCGGTGGAAGGTGTCATGGCTCCGCTGCCCGAGGCTCTTTGCGACCCGCCGAAGGCTGCTGCGGGCTTGAGCCAAAGTGGCTACTGGCCAAACGCATCATTGCTTCGAACGGGGACGCGGCGAGACTGTGACACTTGTGCGATACCACTTTGCAAGAAGCTACCGCTCTGCTGAAGGAGCACTGCTGTTCTTTTCAGATGGGGAGGTACTACCAGCACCGGTGGGGCGTACGGAGTGTTAACTGTATGGACATTTCGGCAGCGAGGAGGACACGCAACGAGCGATGATTTGGAATTTCTCTAATTTTGAAGAGCAACCAACCAAACATTCTGACATGGAGATCGCTGGCCTGCGGTCGGCACTAATGTATGTCTGGAAATCTTGCGAGACGGAAGTGCAAGTGCAAGATCAGGGGCCCTTCTTAAAGAAAAACAATAAATAATCGCGCGCACCCTGACACACCGTTAGCGTACATGAGGGTGCTCAAACACGCAAGATACGTGAGCGTCATCGCCTCGAGTATCACAGGCACTGCCGACTGCATACCCCCGCCGACCCCATGAGCGCTGCTGCTGCCTGGGTGCGTCACGCCCTCCCCCGGAACTCGCCCAAACGCCACAGATAGTCGCGACGAAGAGAGACGGGACCTTAAACGAAAGGACGCATCGACCCTGCGCGGCGGCTTGCGCTGGCCGGGAGCGCGGCATAGCGCGCGGGACACAGGGCGCCTGCGCGCGAGCTTGCGCGAGCAGCCTACGCACGAGTACCCGCGTGGTCGACCTGACTTTGGTTCGTCGCTAAGACGAGAACGATGTCATGTATGACTGGCTCAGGATGCCCTCCTTTCTGCAGCCCGTGCGCAAGTCGTCGAAATCCTGGACCTCTTGGAACGCAGAATTATCATGACCTCTTCCTTGCCTGCATCGCTCCCTCAAGTACCCGTCCTCGAGGGGAGTGGGGCGTCCACAGCCCGCGACGAGAATGCGCGTTTTGCATGCGCGCGCCACATGCGCGCATCCCCCCGCAGTCTCTCTTCTCCGGCGGCGGGGCGGCCGATGTGGCACGCGGCCTGGAAGAGGCGAAACGCGCTGCGCAGGATGGGATCGTCGTCGCCGTCGTGACCTGTCGTCGTCCGCCGTCCGTCGCCGTCGCCGTCGTCGTCGTCGTCGTCGTGTGTCGTGTGTCGTGTGCCGTCGTCGTCGTCGTCGTCGTCGTCGTGTGTCGTCATCGCGGAGCCGCGGTCGGCAGAGCTCCGCGGGCCCAGCGCCGCCGCTGCATCCCCCGTCGAGCGCCAAAGTGCACGCGGCGGCAAAATCTGGATCACGAGCGGGAGCCCCGCGATCACTCTGCATACTTTGAATTGGCTCTTGACAGGGACGCTCGTCCACCAGCCGTGTTCAAACCCAATCAAGACTGCCTACAAGCGCACACGCACACACACACACACACACACACCGTACACCATGCTGACCACCCACCGACAATTTGCATCGGCATTTGACAGAAATGGTGGAGGGGCCGACACTTTGCACTGGGGCACCTGTCGCCGCCTGGCGCACTTTGCGCGCGTCGCGCACGTGGCACATCTGGCGCGGACACAACATTGAGAATATCATACCGTCGGAGATCTGGGGAGCTCGCCCCCTCCGATCCAGGGGGGGCCCTGGACGAGAAGGAGGAGGAGGGGGAGGAGGAGGGGCATGAGGAGAGGGATGGGGCGGAGAGAAAGCTCTAGAGCGAGGAAGAGGAGGAGGAGGAGGAGGAGGACGAGGACGAGGACGAGGAGGATGAGGAGGAAGAGGAGAAGGACGAGGACGAGGAGGAGGAAGAGAAGGCGAGCGGGAGGAAGAGGAGGAGAACGAGGAGGAGAGGAGGGGGACCTAGACCTCCGCTGTCATGTTTTTGTTCACGACGTTGCTCCCCAGAAGTCTGGACCCATTCCCACGGGACTGGCTTTTCATCCTGAGTCCTTTTCTGACGGCCCTGGGGCCCGGCCTCTGGTGCTCAAAAATGGTAGGAAACCTTCCGTCGTGACACGAGGATGTCAGGGAGGAGGGAGGGCGCGCCCCCTGAGATCCAACGATCCAACGACGCGAAAAAATTGCAGCAACGTGAAAATCACCATCAGAGCCCCAGACCCCATCTTTCAGCACCACTTTTCGAGCCAGATCGACATGTGAGGGTACCAGGGCCCGAGAGCCGGCGAAAACGCCCGTTGTGTAAAAAATCTGACGCCAGGGTCTGAAGGCTTTCACGACGAACCCAAAGCTCCCACCCCTTTCCCGAGGATAGTTTTTCGTCCGAGACCCGCTTTTGACAGCCCTGGGGCCCGATCATGGGCCCTGGAGGCCAATCCAGGAAAAAAAAACACCCCGGCTGTACAGGTCACGTCGTCGGAGATCTGGGCTTTCACGACGACCGGCTTCTGGCCGCCACCACCCACGGCGCCGCTGCGAAAAAATCGCCACGCCCAGAGCTCTGCGCGGGGCGCGCGCCCGGAGGCCCCTGGCGCGACCGAGGCGAGGGCGGCGGGCCGCCTCCGAGGCCTCCTCCAGCGCGGCGAGCTGGGAGAGCCAGGCCTGCCAGCGCCCTGGCCCGCCGAAGGCCTGTCGCGGGTGGCGCGCCAGGGGCCCACTGCGGCCGACAGGGCGTTCCAGGCGGCCCGACGCGGGCGGCGCGAGGTGCGCGGCCCGACGCGGCATCCAGACCGGGCGTCACGAGAGCGGTCCGACCCTGAGAGCCTGGCGACCCATTTTTGCTCAGCTCGGGCATTTGTTCGCCCGGTTTTCGGGCCCCCTGGACCCTCACCAATCGATCCGGCTCGAGAAGTGGCACAGCAAGATGGGGTCTAGGGCTCCGGTCGCAAATTATCGCATGGTTGCGCCTTTTTCGCGCTGCCGGATCTCAAGGAAGGGCGGCCCGAATGGGCGACCCGACGGAACGTGGACGGCCCGACGGGGCGTCACGGTGTCGTCCCGACGGGGCGGCCCGCCGAGAGATTTGCCCTCGGCCCCCTCGAGGATCGAGCGAGACGGCGACGACGACGACGACGACGACGACGACGACGACGACGACGACGACGACGGCGACGACGACGACGACGACGACGGCGACGACGACGACGGCGACGACGACGACGGCGGCGACGACCACGGCGACGACCACGGCGACGACCACGGCGAGGCGACGACGACCGCGGAGGCCACGGCTGGGGACTGTCTCCGGGCCTGCGCCCTGGATCGTTCTGGAACGATTATTTCCCTGAGCCATCTCCTTTGGATGGCATGGCCTCCAGCTTTCCCTCAGGGACTCGCCAGGCAGCCCCCCCATCAATAGAAGCAAACTTGCCAGCATTACAGATTTAATATAACTACACAAGTACATAAACAAATAGGTATAGTTATACACAAAAGTTACCCTTCGATATTCCAACATCTGTATATATATATATATGTATACACAAACAGAAAACTACAAACAATGTTAGCCACCGTGGACCCCAATCAGTCAGTGACTGCATTGTGGATGTGTCAGCTATGTGATGCGATCTACGGGGTGCAAGCTATGAGAGGCAAGCTCCGTGGTGTAACCGCGACGGACCTCCCAGGTGCGATGGAGGCGGCAACGAGGCGGCAACGTGTGGCGACGCGCCGTAACCTCGATGGACCTCAGGGAGCAACGAAGCGGCAAACGGCGGCGACGCGGCGAAACCTCGACGGACCTCCCCAAGTGGGCGGAAACGAGGCTGCAACGAGGCGGAAACGAGTGGCGACGCGGCGAAACCTCGAGGGACCAACGAGGCGGCGACGAGGCGGCAACGAGGCGGCAATTAGGCGGCAACGGGCAGCGATGCGTCGAAAAAAAATGCCGGACAACCTCCCGTCGTAATTGTTGTCACGACGCGAGGAGGTCCGGGTTGGGCCAGGGTCACTTCTAGCAGCACCCGACACTGTGGAGTCCGTAGCGGCCGCCCCCGAGCGAGAGGTCACTCCAGACCGGGCGGGCGGCCCCAGGGCTCCCGACCCCTTCCCCGGGGGGCGTGTTTGATCCATGTTTGATGGCCCCGGGGCCCGGACAACGGGCCCCCAGATTGAAAAAACAGGGCTGCAAGCGAGGACACCAAACGGCGAGTTACTGCAGCTTCGAGATGCAAAGCGTGTAATGTAGCGGCACAAGGCCGCAACGAGCGGCAACGGGCGGCGACGAGGCGAAACTTCGACATACCCAACAACTTAGGGAGACAAGCAAGAACCCCTACGTGCAAGCACTGACTGGGGAATATCGTCGAAGATCTGGAATCCTGGTCCAGGGCCACCTCAAGCAAAACCCGACCTATCGAGCCCCCAGCGGCCGCCCCTCGACGAGGCCGCTCCGCCCACGGCCCGGACCTCAGCGTGTTGCTTCCGATGTCATTCTTCGTTCAATACGGGGTCCCGGGAAGTCCCGACCCTTTCCCTAGGGCCCGCTCTTCGTCTCGAATTTTTTCTTGTCGGTCCGGGGGCCCGCGAGGGCCCCTGTAGGCCGAAAACAACGAAAAACCCATGTCCTGAATTTTGTCGATACGTTGGACGTCTGGTTCTAGCAACACCCGACCCACGGAACCCCTGGCGGCCACCCCTCGGCGAGTTCGCTCCAGCCCCGGCCCAGGCGGACAGTAGCGCCGCCTCCACACCGAGCTGCTGGGGCTCCGCCTCCACCGCCGAGGCGGCAGCCCGCAGCGCGCCTGCCATGCCCGCGACCGCCCGCCCTCATCCTCCACTTCCTCCATCCTCGACCTCCTCACCCTTATCCTCATCCACACCAACACCAACATCGACGACGACAACGACGACGACGCCGACGCCGACGCCGACGCCGACGCCAGCGCCGACGACGACGACGACGACGACGCCGCCGCCGACGACGGCGACGACGATGACGACGACGACGACGATGACGACGACGACGACGACCACAATGACAACAACAGCAGTAGCAACAACAACAACAACAACAACAACAACAACAACAACAACAACAACAATCAGTTTAAGACTGTTCGCTTTTACCTGCTCGCGGGGCCATTTAACATGTATATCCCAAACCCT